TCAGTCAGTCAGTCAGTCAGTCAATCAGTCAGTCAGTCAGTCAGTCAGTCAGTCAGTCAGTCAGTCAGTCAGCCAGTCAGTCAGTCAGTCAGTCAGTCAGTCAGTCAGTCAGCCAGTCAGTCAGTCAGTCAGTCAGTCAGTCAGTCAGTCAGCCAGTCAGTCAGTCAGTCAGTCAGTCAGTCAGTCAGTCAGCCAGTCAGTCAGTCAGTCAGTCAGTCAGTCAGTCAGTCAGCCAGTCAGTCAGTCAGTCAGTCAGTCAGTCAGTCAGTCAGTCAGCCAGTCAGTCAGTCAGTCAGTCAATCAGTCAGTCAGTCAGTCAGTCAATCAGTCAGTCAGTCAGTCAGTCAGTGAACGAGTAAGGAAATCAGTTAAGTTTATTGTATCAGAATGAACTTTTTTTTTATTATCAGTGCTATTAAATTATGAGATAGAAAAATTGCTAATTAAACTATTACTAACAGTTACAGTACCCTAACTTCTTGCAAATGCATGTCTTTGCAGTTAATCTCAGTTCAGAAATTCTGGACAAGCTGAAAATATACAGAGAGAATTTTGAGAAAGCATACCTGGAGGCGACAGAGGAATTCTACAAAACTCAAGCTGCTGCATATCTTCAGGGAAATGGAGTACAAAATTACATGAAATATGTAAGGATCTGTTTAGTCAAAAACTGATGATGCTTCCAACTTTTCTGACTCTTGGAGTTCTGCAATGTTCTATTAAAGTTGCTTATATTGTAGTCGTTGTAAGTTTAAAGTTGCAAATATCCCATCCTGGAAAATTGTTCTTTGTGTGGTTGTGAATGCCTCACAGGAACCGAAAAATTTTTGTGAGAGAGGCAGAGCTTGATTGTGGCAAGGAAAATGAATTGCAGCCTACCAACATACTCTTGATTTGAGATGCAAGCTTTCTGCAGAAGTTATCTTAATGTTTCTGCCACACCCACCTTGAGGTTTGTGCCTAGTAGGGGTTTGAGAAAGTAATAACCTGACACACTGTATGTGCCAATTAAGACTTAAATCTACACAAGGGAAATGCTTGTAGCAATTTTTCTTCTTTCTGTGGGAATGAAAGTTCATCTGACAGCCAGATTTTGGTCAAGACTTTGATTTTATCAAATGTTTTTACCCATCTGCAATAATAAAGGCTGAAATGAAGTTAAAAGAAGAAGAGCAAAGAGCTGTCCGATACCTTGAAACAAGGAAGGGCTGTGATTCAGTGTCAGTGGTGAGTAAAATCCGGCCAATTCCTAACATTATAAACGACTAAGTAAGTTTACTGATTTTAAATGAAGCTCTGCATTTGCCTTATTTATCACTTTCTTAAGCTATTTTGAATTCTTTTCCCATCACCTTTGATGAAATGATTTACTTTTAAGGGCAGAAACTTGTTTACGTGTATGGGCAACTTAACTGTATATGAAATTTGTTGGGTTGCAGCTTACAGAGCGTTGTGTGAGTGTCCTGGTTGGAAGTTTTAAGGAGACTATATTAGCTGAGTGCCCTGGAATGATTGCTACTAACGAGACAGAGAGTAAGTGGTGAACCTGTGATTGTTCTAGTAAAATGATGGCATTGCAAAGTCACATGTCAAATATTTTATATTTGTAGAAAAGTATGCAGCAGTAGAAGATAAAAATTCACACCCAAGTTTGTAATCGATGGTATTTTAATTGAAGAATATTCTTTTTTTGACAGAACTTCTTCTAATGTTCCAGTTGATGGATCGTGTGCGAGGAGGAGTAGATCCTATGATAGCCAATTTGGAGTCTTATATCGTCACTACAGGTCTTGATGATATGAAAGCCTGCGCTGACACTATTACATCTGTAAGGGAGTGTATACCATAGTTAATTCAATTAAGTGCCCAACTTTGAACGAGTGCCTACCCTGTAGGTAGAGAAAGGTAATGTGCCCACCCCTCCTCTCCCTCCCTCATAAGCATTGATCAAATTTCTGACATCTCTGAATTGGCTCTCTGTGGTACATCTTTCTGTTTTGTCATGATAATTCATTGTTTTGTTCCAAAAGAAAGTTACTTCATGCTGAAAATGGTGAAAATTTAATAGGCATCCAACTCAAATAAGCATCCACCTCCAATGAGCATGCACTCTCAAGGTACAAAAATTTAATAAGTGCCCTGTTTCTCGAAAGTCCTGGTAACTTAATGGGCCCGTAAAGCTGTTCTGTTTTCATTCAAGATGGAGATTTTAAAAGTTTTGAAAATGATACAATTAAACTATCAGCTAAAGAAACAAAAAGGACTGGTTTGGTTACCAGAGCCTGCTTTCCCATCCTTTAAACTTTGATTTTAAAACATGGCTTTGGCCCGTTGAGTTACCAGAACTTTCGAGAAATGGGACCCTGGTCATTTAATTAAATAAGTACGGTATATTGATGGTAATATTCTGCTAACAGTTATAAATAAAATTACACACAGGTACTGTTCCTTTGGTGAGGAAACCAGAGATGCTTTTTTTTGTTCTGATTCCTTTACAATGTATTCCTGGGAAAATTTTTGGTGCAGATGCCTTGAATTCTGTTTCACCTAAAGATATTCAAATTGTAAAATACAACATTTTGTTTACATGGGATGCTCTGTTTATACCAGTATTGTTTCTTTTCAATACTCCAGGAAGTCGTGAGTTTTAAAAATTTTCTTGTATTACCTCCATGGTTACTAGCCCCTCTAACTTTTAAAGGGAATTGTCTTTCAAGTTGTTCAAGAGATGTAAAGATTTTAGAATTTTTCCGGCTTCCACCCAGAAGTCTTTGCCTAAAAATTGTTGTTCCTCTCTAGTTGTCTTATTAAAGAGAGTACTCTCCACATAAAACTGTTGTTTTTGTTTGCAGGATTCTGAGAAATATGTTGAAGAGCTGCTCACATTGTTCAATAGATTCAGTAAGCTTGTTAAAGAAGCTTTCAATGATGATCCACGGTTCCTCACAGCAAGAGATAAGGTTTGTTAATGGGAAAAACTATTGTAGCACAAGAAACCTTTTGGCGTGATTCAGGTTCCTCCTGATACAGAGTTGAGAGCGCCAGCCTCTCATGGCTGGGGACTGGGTTCGATTCTTACTCCAAGGGTTTTTCTTTTCAAATTTTTCTCGACTTGCAGACAAATGGCAAAGGACCAGTTGTTATCTGCATCACCGCTAGAATTCCAATCCAATCTAAGAGATAAAGCACTCAATAGTTTTATAGGAAAATTGCTTAGTAGGATAACAAATTTGTCTCTGATGGCCAAACTTTAGAAGAATCAAAATTAAATTTTGCCGATCGTAATATTGTGCAGTTGTTATTGAATCAGGTTCGTAATTTAAATTGATTGTTTTTATTTCAAATATTAGGCATTCAAGACAGTTGTGAATGACAGTACAATTTTCAAGTTGGAACTCCCCAACAAGAACAAAGCGTAAGATTCCCTGTGGTATTTTACTAGTTATTGTGTGTTCTCTGTTTTGCTTTTGGATGTATCGCTGAGAGAAATATTATAAATGGCTCACTGTCACTTATCTTACAAGCGCAGCTTTTTGGAGGGTAGGGAGGGGAAGAGGGGGTGGTGGGGTTCCTGATTCCGTTTCACGCACGACTTTTAGAGGAATTTGTGCGTCACGTATTTATAATAATAATAATAATAATAATAATAACAATGATAATAATAATATATATATATATTTTGAATAATGAGAAATAACCTTTATTGAATCTAACATGAAAGTGTATAAAAAATGAAAAATAAAAATAAAAAAAAAACTTGCAAGTTACAATTCTCCTTTTAA